CCAAGTAAGTTTTTAGTTTTAAAGCATTGTTTTATTAATGGTTATAGCGTTATTGGTTTGGTTTAGAGCAACAATTAAAGATATTTGTTCAATGCAAGAATTTATGGGATCTTTAAAATATTTTTCTTACTTGGTTTGCTAGTGAATCTTCAACATTTTATCAATATTTATAATTACATTTTTACTATTACCAAGAATTGAAATTGTGCTTTATTGCTATTTATAAGATGCAGCCATCTTTCATTAAAGATGTGTACTCATTAACTTTGAAATAACAATCAAACATACACATTCTTTATCAATGACAATTTGGTAAATAGTTGACACTATTAACAAACATTGCTTTTAGGAACTTGAAGATTATTAATATTTTATGTTTTAGTCTCTTAAATAAATTAATATATAATTATTTTTATTTTAAGATTTAATAATAGGAACTAAATGAATTTTGATTATTAAAAATTTTACTTTTAGAAATATTAATTTTTATAAAATTATTTTAATAGTTACTGCTGGCGCAGCCAGTCAGCAACCACAACCACAACCTCCGCCAGGTTCAGATTCCTCTTTAAATTTGGATGCAACTTTGTGTCTTGACAATGATCAGTGGCTTACAGTTGATATTTCTACATTAGAACAGGATGTAAATTCACTATACTACTCTGTTTTTGGATCAAATAATAATGAGACAAATATTTCTGATGGAGATACATGCAATGCCAATATTTTGATAACAAATGAAACTGTCACTCAGCGTTGTTTGACACCACTTCCCATGAAAGGAAAAAAATTAAATAAGTCAGAAATACCACAGACAATGGAGTCTGACTTATGGGGTTTGGAAACTGAAGAACCTATACTTCAAGGAAAATGTCCTGATGGAAATCTTGATTTATACTATGAAACAAGGAGCCCACTTTCTCTTTGGGGTGCTCCAATGGATTTAGACTTTTTAAAAATGGATGATGTCTTTCAGGTTGATAAAGCAGATCTTGTACAAGGTCCTACTTTAGCAGAGCTTAATGCTAATGATGAATCCTTATTTAACTCTTTGGACTACTATGATTCTCTCCTAACAGATAATAAAAAGATTTCAACACAACTTCCAATGANACCTGGGTAAACATTGGCAGCATTTAAACTTCTTCTAACCGACGCTCCACAGTGTACCCGAGGAAGGCCTATTAAGAAGGCCGAAAACGTTTGTACTCCAGTTAATAAGGCTAGAAATTAGTGAGAAAGGTTTTGTGCTGATAATCTTAGAAATAGTTCTAGCTACATATGCATAGTAGTTTCTTATAAGCAAGACAGTAATAAGAACAGTCAGCTCACAGCATTGCCAACTCTATTCTTTGAAAGTAAATTTTTTATCTGATCTCTCTGTATATGTATGTATTGAAATATGAATGAATCTCAAATATGATAAGGCAAAAAAAAATATCTATCACTGAAAAAATATATGTAATTTCTATAATTTATTAAATACATGAAGTAAAGTATTTTTTAAAATTTAGATATATTTTTATATTGTTCATTCTTAGGAAGGGGAGTAATATAGAAATGAAATATTTTAAAGTTAAATTCAGTTTTGTATATTAAATATATTAATTTAATTTTTTTTAATTTATATATTTAAACAGTAGAATTAAGATTATAAATCATTCTTCTCAATCTTGTATCTGGATTAAATTCAGTTAAAACATTGATATCATTTTTCAGTCTAAATACTGCCCAGTTAACATTTTCAAATAACAGATGAGTAAAGTTACTAATCACACTACACCTTATACACTTTTCCAGCACTAGTTTAATCAAAACAAATGTTTTCAACCCCATTCAGAGGTCTCCCTCAAGTTAAAAATGAAAAGTGTGTGTAAGGTATAGTGTGATTAGTATATTTGTTTACAGGTTTTCTACAAGTGCTTTTAGATGAGTAAAAATTCTTCACCCTCAATATAGTGTTGACATTTTATAGAAGTCTTCAAATAAATAGATTCTTTCCAATTAATTTTAAGTTTGTTCAACTTAAGTTGAAAAACAAATTTTTTAAACAAAAATTTAGTACTACTGCAAATAAGTATAGATACATATTTCTCTACAAGACTATCACCACACCAAGATAAAACTTCCTCTCCAATTTTCTTGTTGGACTGCAATTTGAAAAAATTGTAGACCTATAAATTCCCACTGTCATTTGTCTGTCTTTCCTTAACCTCAAGAACAGCATTAGATAGATGAAAGACAAGACCAGATATGGAAAGTTTAGGAGTAAGAGGCCCCGATTACCTATATATGAACTTCCAGTGCAAACTGGAAGTCATGTTATTTCAATTCAAAAATTTTTCCCTGAAATGTGTTAGATAGATGACTCTGATGTTAAAAGAAAAGTATGATATACAGGGGCAAGCCACTACTGATTTGAAGTGGAGAGACTATATTTTCAATTAAATAAATTAAAAATTGCAGCCCAGCATTGTGAAATTGTTCATCCAGTAATTGTAAAATTTCATCTTCTAATAATAACAAACCAATTTGAATGAAATCTTGAAAAATATAAGGTGATATCTAGACATAAACTACAGCCTCCCAGGAAAAACTGCACCAAAATTGCAATTCTCTTGTCATGTTCAGTCAAGGAAGGCAAGTTAAGCTATATTGATGCACTTGTAGAATGATGGCATATCTCCGTGATGTTGAAACAGGCTGCCAACTTGCATGCAAGTTTTAGTGGTACCAACACACAGGTGAAACACTATCACAAAGTGGCAATTTTAAAGGATATTTTCTGCAAATTTTTTGACCAACCTTCAAAACCCAGGACATTAAGCAGGAAGTGGGACATCCATAAATATTTAATTACATCACATTATCATATGAAATTTGAATTATGATATTTTGATATCATAGTTCTGTGGTACTAAACCAAAATTTCCTTGCACATTTTATTTTACATTTTTTTACTTCCCTGGCTCTGCCATGATTGTTATATATAACAGAGGGAAACTCTGTTATATATAACAATCAGTTAAAAAATGACCCCAAGGTTTTTACATTTTTGAACTCTGGACCTTGAAATGTTGAGAAATGCAAAAACATTTAGAGGTTTTTTGTGTGTATGGATGTTAGTGTGTGTGGGGGCATGAATTTGTTCACCCTCTTTGAAGCTTAATAACTGCTGCACTTATTGTTAAAATCTGAAGTTTTGCAGGAAGGTTTGTATATTAGGGGGATTGATGCTAATTAAATTTTGATGGTTAAAGGTCAAGGGATGGGGAGATAAAGGGGGTTTGAATGTCATATTTTGAGTAGGGGCAGACTTAATGACAATTTTACTCCTTATTAGCATTTACAATTTTTTTTATAAAAACCATCCCTCCCCTCAAAATTAAGCTTTTGGCCAATTGATGATAATTAAAAATATAAAGATTTTTAATAACATATCATAGCAGATGATGCCACCAAATGTTACTGGGAATTTTTAAGACAAATCAGACTAAGTGTTTGCTTGATTCTTCTTTTCCTCAAAAAAGTTTATGCAATTATACATTTAGGAAAACCTGGCCTAAATGAATGAATTCAAAAGCTGGTTAACTACTGATTGTGAGAAATATTAAAAAAAGTGCATCTTTTCATTTACCTTTTCCCTCCCTCTGGTGATGGCGTTGGCCAACGAAGCAGTTTCCAAAGATGGCGACCCTAGATGACATGGGATAATTCTTTGAGAAAAAGGGAACTAACTATAATTCCTTTGAGGGTAGTGTTGCAAATTAACTTTGTATTCTTATTTCAGATAAAGTTATTTTGTAGTACACAATAAAAGCATGCATATCCACATATAAATGGAGAATTTCCAGGTTTCTTTCAAAAGATGACTCTGAATTTTCCAATCATTTTCCATTCTTAAGCTTGATGTTTATTAATTAATGAATGGACCATGCTCATAATGTAAATTTAATTTTTCTAAACTAAAATAAACTTTAGAAAATATTCAAAAGAACTGGAATTGAGAGAAATTTTGATATCATTCCATCACTAATTGGATTCAGAATATTTTTTAAAACAGGCATTTATTGTAGGAGGTTGAATAAGCCTTAAAGAAAAGAATTTTTTTTTTACCATGGATTGAATCATGAAAGCAATCTGAGAATTATATTTATAATGTTCTCTCTCTTTGATATGCGTAAATCTTGCTCAAACATCTTTTGGTGGATGGAATACTTTGAAGTCTAATTTCAAATAACTTTTAAAGAAATAAGTGTTTTTTATTTGTATATTTGGAATAATTCTTTGTACCACTTAATAATTGTTTCTGTCTATTTATCATGCTGTTAAAATATTCATAGTTTGTGTGTTAAATTAAAGAGACATATAATTATTGCATTAACTACTGTATATAAATTTCTAGTTTTTATAGTTGTCAGTCTGTTGTATTTCATTAAAAAATATTCTGAGATCCAGTGCTATGGCTAGTTAATACAAATTTGAGCATAATCTAATGAATTCAATTTTTTCAAGTATTATTATCCTGTAAATTATTCTCATAAGTAACCAATTGAAATATTGAAATTGATATAGTAGTTTTGACCACTTTTCTAAATAATTTTTTACTGTTGAATAAAAAGTAAAATTTTTATTTTTTAATTTATTCATTTATTTGTGAAGAGTTCACATTTTTATAGAATTTCTTTTGCAAACTGATTAGATATTGTAGAATATAATATATCAATAGTTTCTTTGACAGTAGCTTAGTTAATAGTTAATATAAAAATTGAATAAACACATATATATTTTATTGAGCAAAATAAAATGTATAGAATGGTTTAGCTTGGAATATGTAAAATGTTTTCTTATAAACTGAAAGTTTTTATTTAATTTGTAAACTAATATTTTTAAAATTTTGAAATTACTTCATTTCTGTTTTATTAAATGTGAAGTCAAAATTAATTTAAAAAAAATAAAACTAAAATGAATTTTTTGTATTTCATATAAATGATAAAAAGAATCTCTCAATGGTGAAGAATATGATAAGAAATCACCAACTTGGTCATTAACATTTGGAAATAGATGGACAAAAAACAAAAAGAAGAAACGTTTTTTTTGGCAATATAATATACAGTCAAAAGGACCAAAAGGACCACGGATTTCTTTAGCAACAGAATCTACAGATCCTCATGTCCTAAGTGATGCAATGGACCCTGTTTTTAGTTCAAGTTGTCATTTAGATGGAGTGAAACATGCAGGAAAAGCAAGAAGAGGTGATGGTAATGATCTAACACCAAATCCCAGGAAACTTTACAATATTGGTGCAGAATTAAAGAAATTAAGTAAAATTATCAATGATTTAACTCCGGTTAGTGAATTACCATTTAATGCAAGATCAAAATCAAGAAAAGAGAAAAACAAATTAGCATCAAGGTAAGAATCTCAAAATAGTTATTTCATAATATATCTCATTATTTAGCTCTTCCTTACTCTTCTTTCTCAAATTCTCTGTACCACATTCCACTTGACTGTTTCTTTTAAGATTTTCACATTCTTTTATCATTTTTTTTTCACATATATATCTCATCTGATGTATGTCTCATTTTAATTGAGAAAGATTCTTTTCAAAATTTCATATTTGCATTTCTGTAATTGTTATAATGGTTAATGAATACTATCACCTATTATTTTGTGTATTTTATTTCTTTATGTATTTTTTAAGATTTTATATAGTTAGGTTTATATTTCTTTAAAATATTCCATTCACTTAAATAAGCATGAAAGTCAAAAAAAAAAAACTAAAGTTTATTTCATTCTGCATTCCAAACAGTATGTTAAAGCCTCCTAATATGTACTGTAGATATTCTTCTTAACATAAACTGCTAGTTTGCAATTTTAGGCAGAACAGTTTAAGTTTCAGAGGAATATTTGAATAAAGCATAGGAAGATAAATTATTTTTATACATTTATGATAAATAAGCATATTTTTGAAAATACTCCTTAAGAAAAAAGAAATTTGTTTTTGGAATTTTGTAGCTCATAACTAGTATCAACAAGCTTCTTTTAAACAAATTTAAAAAAAACTTTAAATTATGGAAAAAATTAAAAATTATTTCCTTTACTGTTAATCATCATTAGAAATAAAAGATGCTATCTTAATATTAGCTTACTGCATTTATGCTAAAAACTATTGTTTTTAAGAATTTAGAGGTTTTTTTAAAATTAAATATAATTTATTGAGTAACCTCTTGAAGATTTGGCTTTTGTACTAGAAATGCTATCCATTCTTTCTGTTGATAGCTTCAGTTTAAAATTAGATTTTTGCAGAGTAATTTTTTCAATCTCTGAAATTATGTAAAAAGAAATTCTTTGACTTCTAATTCAATTTGCAAAATTTTTATTTGCTGTTATATGCATTTGCATTGTGTCATCATCTCATTAATGGAGCACTAATGATAAGTTCTTTAACTCTGTTTTCTGTTAGAAAAATATGATTTCTGATTATTTTAAAATTAATATATTTTCAACAAACAATTTTATTATTCTGATGAAAAACTTGCTGGCAGTCAGGAAATGGGGAATTTCTTGTTACCTAAACAGTGTAATAAATAACTCAGACAGAATTACTAGGGCTAGAATAAAGTTTGTTATAAAAATGTTGAACGAATATTACTATATTTTTAAGAAAAATTACATAAAATTGTAAGACAGTTTGCAATTTTTCCTATAAATATTGTTAAAAATAAATATTAGTAATAATTTTTAAATTATTACTATCTAATATTATATAAATAGTTTTTATATTTTTGTATTAATAGATTGCTTTCAAACAACTAAAAGTAGTAATAATTCATTTTCAGAGCATGTAGATTGAAAAAGAAAGCACAACATGAAGCAAACAAATTAAAATTATATGGCTTGCAGCAGGAACACAGTAAGTGAAAATAAAGGCCTAATTTTTATTTACTAATTATATATATTGAAATAAGAATTAATCCATTATATGAGATCAATTGAATTTACTTGTTAGAATGTAACTATAATTACAAAGAGATTTAAAAATCTCTTCATGATTATAGTTGCACTCTAAAATATATAAATGAATATATATATATAAACAAGTATAAATTGATCTTAAGTACTTGTCATTGTAACATTTCAAATGATACTTTTTTTAATTCCATTTATATATTAAAAAAAAGAATAAAAATTTATGCCAATCAGTTATATTCTTCATAATTTATTTTCTGTATATTTATCCTTAAAAATAATTTTAATTTGAAAAAATTTTTACAACAATTTCATTTTATCAGTTGTATTTCAAATAATTTTATATGGAAATGATTAATCAAGATATGTTATATGAGATTTAGGGCCACTGAATGAAAAATCCTCAAAATTTAATTTTAATATAATAATTAAAAATATATAATATTTGGGATTAAATTTCAAAAATAAATTTATTCATTGCATTATATATTCACTATTTTTCTTCTTAAATTTAGTAAAAGATTTAATCAAAGGACACAATAGGAATATATAAAAACAAGTTTAAAATTTACTAATTTTATACTAGTCAGATAACATTTCATGCTTTACTTGCTAACAAAACAGTATGTGACTAGATAGCTACATGTTGAGATGTTATCCTTTTGTAGAGAATTTTGATTTCCTGTTGTGATTCATTTTGGAACTTCAAAATTTATCATAGATAGTAAGAATAGGGCATTATTCTCCAATTCTTATCCATGCTGTTGATCTGATTGAAATTTGGATCCATCCAAAATGAGCAAAATTATGTCTGGCTATAAAAACTTAATAGTTGTGGCTGGCAGATTAATATTGTTGTAACCAGAAATAATACTAATAAAAATATATTTTTCAATTTTATGGAGAAGCAAAAAAAAACCATATTTGTAACAGTGTTGTATCTCTAGTATTTTTGAGAAAGATTGCTTAAGAATATGCTTTCATTGTGCATATAAATAGAAACTATCAGAAAAAAATGTGTGTTTTATCTTATTTGAAGAAAAATATCAAATCTACCTGCAAAAATCTATATTGTAGTTATAGGAAGGCAACTAGATTTGTATTTTTTGTCAACCAAATCACTGAACCTCTTCAGCTTCCAGCAAAACATGCAAAATGTATCAATTCACAAACATTTTTGGAATTTACCTGATTTCAGGTTCAGAGAGTTCATTTCAAATTGAATGCATGTTTAGAATTCAAATTTGAGCAGGCCAGTATAAGACATGTATTGAGCCATACTATGTCACCCAGTGTATAATGATGTCTTATACCATACTCCTATGCTTTGGATAGTTGTATCTCATTTGTAGAATTGATGCAATTGGAGTTACGGCTGGCTTTGGATATTTCAATGGATTCTATGAATCTGATGTGGTTCCAATTTGTAGAAGATCTGATGAGTTGGGCCTGATTTAATTTAATCTTTGTATGGTCTTCCAGGCCAAACGTAGACAGGGCGGTGAAAGCTGAACAGCAAAACTAGCAGGCTTTGATGGAAGCAGAAGAAGTTCAGTGGTATGAAGATATTACATTTCCAGTGATAGAGAAGTACATTTTGTTTGTCAGCCAATAAGAATTAGAATAAAGCATCATTATTTTCAAAGAAAATAATTCAATAAATCATATTTATTCACATAATATGAATAAATATGATTTATTTGATGATTATATTGCAAAAAAATATTTTTAATATTTGAATATAGTGGTACCTCAGGATACGAATGCCCCAGCATACGAAATTTTCAGGATACGACATGAAATTCAAACATATTTTTGCTCCACGATACGAACAAAAACTCACCACATGACATTACATTAGTTTGCAGTGCCATTTTTTATTCACTTCTGTTCATCGGTCTCAGTCTGCATGTTTGCTTCGTCATGGTAGGATCTCCTCGATAAAGGAAATCTTGAGGTATTATCAGAAAGTGACTGATTTTATTGAAAAGAAACATCCCAAAAAGGTTTACACTGGCTGTATTGCTGCTTGGAGTAATGACATTTGCCTAAGTCATTTTAGAAACATTTTAAAAAGTAGGCAAAGCCAAACCTCTATCCAGTGAAAGTGCTGGTGGAAATGAAGGAAAGAAAGCAAGAAGCAGTGAATAAAAATTAGAAATATTAGTGTTGTTTTATATATATTTTTATCTTTTCTAAGTTATTTTTAAGTTATTGTTAAGTTTTAGTATCATTTTCCTTCTCCCTCTCTTCCGCCACCAGTTTACACCTCCACCGTCGTCTATCCTCAAAGGTAAAGTGCAAATAAAACTACATTTTTTTTCATCAATTATTATTCTATTATGGTTATTTATACATTTGCAACTACAAAATGCATTTTTTAGTGTTTTCCTTACTATAGTTATTTTTGTATAATGTACTACTTAGCTTTAATTTGAGTGTGTTTTTCGTGTTGGAATGAATTATTTGGTTTTACATGTAATCGTATGGGGAAAAATGATTCACCTTACAACGTTTTCATGATACGAACTCAGTTTCGGAATGGATTAATTTCATATCCTGATGTACCACTGTATATTTGAAACTTTATCAACCCATCAAATATTATATATTAAACTTAAACTTCTTTATAACTTAGTTTTTTCTTTTGAAGTAATCTAAAAATATATACGTAAATCTGTTTCAAATTATACACTTTAAAATATCAGCTGTATATTAGCTTTAACTTTTATTTTACCATAAATACTGACAATTAACTAATTGTATTTAAATATTTTTTTTACCATCAAGAAATGGCATTTCATAATAAATTAATTTGATTTAAACAGTTTTAAATTTTACAGTTTATTACAAAATGTACTATTAGCAGTCTTGCAAATTATATTAATTTTAATGTTTTTTGGCCTCGGAGACCCTTCTGGCAGTTCTCAAGATCTAAACCAGGGGTCTCCAAAGTGGTCGATATCGACCCCTGGGGGGTCAATATAACATTATTGGGGGTCGATTATCAAGCTTAAGCTAAGGATAAGGGGACGCTAAGGATCAAGATTATCTGTCTCACTGATTGTCAGTTACAAAAATTACTATTAATAAATATATAATAAATGAAAATAATGGAAAATTAAAAGAAATGTATTAAAATAGTAAGTGAGGTTTCGAAAACTTGTAGGGGGTCAATGATCAAAAAAGTTTGGCGACCCTTGTTTTAAACCAATTGACTTTTCTAATATATCTTTGAATGAATCTAATCAATATAACAATTAATATGGTAAAATTAAGTAATTTTAAATATTTTCTTAATAAAAAATAAAACTTAAACTTATGATAATTACAATTATTATTAAATTACAAATTTTTTGTTAGGAAATTTTCAAGTATTCAATTTATTAATCTGCCACTGATGTTAAATGAAAACGAACAAGTAATATAAAACCTTTGACACTTTTTCTAGCAATTTTCTTTAATCGAACTAGCGTTTTCGGCTATATTTAATGGTCTTCCTCAGGTTTGACAATATTTGGAATGTCTGATATTCAAAAATCTAGAAAAAGTGTCGAAGGTTTTATATTACTTACTTACAGAAGTTCTAGCTTTCCGTGTATAGAATTGCAAACAAACAATATTATTTTTATATATAATTGTACAAGATTATTAAAGACTGACACCCATTGCCAATATATGGCTTTGAGAATGATTGGAAAAGTAACTGTCATTATTTTCAGAAATGTATGTAAACTGTCATCTTCATTAAACTATGAGAATGTGAGAATGATTGCTTGGTCTAAACTAGTATTTGTCAAAGTATTGTTCTGGACATTGTTTTTTCTTTATCGACTATACAATGTCCAGAACAATACTTTGACAAATACTAGTTTAGACCAAGCAATCATTTGCATAGTTTAAAGATGACTGTTTGTATACATTTCTGAAAATAATGACTTGTATAATTATTAACTATGAAGTACCAAACATCATTAGAACTATCGAAGAATTACAATAACAGCAACATTTAATAGATTATATGGATGAACAATCAAAAAAGAATATCAAACAAAAGAAAAAGAAGAGCAGAGTGAATTCAGAACTGGAAGATCTTGTATGGACAATATTTTCTGTATAAAACAGATTATGGAAAAAAGATTAGCAATAGGACAGGAAACTCATTTGTTGTTTTTAGACTTAACGAAAGCATATGATAATGTCCCAACATCAAAATTATGAGAGACATTAAAAGAGATAAATATTAATAACACACTTATTAAAGCAGTTAAAGAATTATATAGAGAATTCATAACAAAAATAAAAATTGGAAAAAAAAATATCAGATGGATTTATGGTATCAAAAGGACTAAGACAGGGATGTTGTATCTCACCAACTTTATTTAAAATCTACATAGAAGGTGTATTGAAAATATGGAAAAGGAAATTTTGTAATATGGGAATAGATATTAATGGTAAACCAATGTTTACATTGCAATTTGCAAATGATAAGAGGATAAGGATGACCTAGAATACATAACAAGAAAAATAAAAGAGGAATATTTTAAAGGAGGTTTATATATAAACATGAGTAAAACAAAATATTTATGGATAGGAAGGACTAAAACAGACATGGAACTGGAAGAAGAAAAGATTGAGAAATGTGAACATTACAATTATCTTGGAATACAAATTCATCAAGAGGGAAGAGATACATTAGAAATTAATACAAGATTAGCACAAGGTAAGAGAGCAGTTAAAAGATTAAATGGAATATGGTAGAGTGAAGAAATAACTAGATCAAGGAAAAAAGAATATATAATGCTATTGTTAAAAGCATTCTGTTATATGGGTCAGAGGCATGGAGAATGACTGGGGAAGAGAAGAGAAAAGTAAAACCAATTGAAATGGATGCATTGAGAAGATTGTGCAGAATCTCAAAAAGAGAAAGAATAACTAATGAGATAATCAAAGAGCTAATAGGATTGAAGGAGACAGTTTTGGAAGAAATAAAGAGGAAACAACTTATTTGGTTTGGACATATGAAAAGAATGAGTGACGAAAGACTCCTGAAAGTGTCAATGGAATACAATCTGCAAAAAAGAAAAAAAAAAAGGAAGACCCAGACAAACTTCGTATGACGGAGTAAAGTTAGCATGTAGTGAAAAAGGGATTAAAGAGGAATGGTGTGTGGATGGAGAGGGTTCCTGGAGATCAGAAGGCAATGTCAGATGCCATAAACAGAAGATAGATAGATATAATTATTAACTATGAGGTACCAATCATCATTAGTCATGAAAGCTAATGTAATATAAACTGGTAGTAACCACCTTTTGTGACAGTTTGTTTTCACAAATTATTCTTATATTATCATCATCATATTTAAATTTATAGACAATGAATAGATGTTATTTCAGGAATCAAACAAATTGTTTTTAATCAGAAATGTTTTTGTCCTTTTATAAGATCATCATCAGCAAAACTCTTAAATTGCAATGGAACAAATACATTTTGAGAATACTGTTACATTCAAACATTAAATTAAATAAATTTACAAAAAATAAATAAATATAGATTTTTTCATTTTTATTTAAAGTGCTATAACATAAATCATTTATTTCTTTAATGGTACCAAGTATGGATGTATTCTCTGTTAAAAAACTTTTCAGTAAGTATTATACAAAACAAGATATTTATAAAATATTTTTTATATTAGACAGTCTGTTTTCTTGCATAATGGCATCAACTTTTCCTTTAATTTACACACATTTATATTAGATATGATATTTTCTGGTTTTATCTTGAAATTGATAAAAATATATACTACTTTAATACTTTTTCATTATTAAGGATAAATTTAGTCTAACTTGAATAATACTTATTTTTGAATGCATTTTTTAAATTTATTTCATATAATAAAAATTTGTACGTGAATTAATTTACTATAATTTTTACTATATGAAATAAAGTAAATTAATTAAGTAAATTACTTAATTAATACTTTTTTTTTCAGAAAGTTTAATATCTTTACTTGAAGATTTGAGAGAAATAGTTAAAGAAAAAATTGATCCAATTACATTTCCTCAAACAGCATTATTACAAGAAGACTTGGATAAATTATTTGAAGCCAAAAGTATATTTATTTATTTGAAACTGTTAATAAGTTTAATAATATTACTTTAATGTAAAATAATTTTATGTATTTTTGTTCAGTTCCAGAGAAAATTGCTGGTCATACATCAGAATTTGTCAATAAAGTTTTAGATAAAGTATCTTATGGAGATTGCAATGGAGGTTTATTAGATTTCTGAATTATGTGAGAAAACAGGATACGAATAAAACAATATAAGAAAAAAGAAGATAGAAGCATAGTAATCAAGGCTAATGTGTATAGAGTAATATATATTATAGACTTTTGTCTTCACAATTATTTTCAGTAAGCAACAAATATTATCTTACTGATTTTTATTAGATCTGCCATAGTTTGCACAGATTACTAGTAACAAAATGTTATGATTGAGATAAACATTCCTCAAATGTAATTATTATCCAACAGGAATGTTTTACTCTTTTGCCAACTCCATATACCTCACAATTTAAACTGGAGAATAATAAAACAAAATTATATATTATATATATAAACATATATATATAAATGGACAATATAATTGAGTCATATCTATCACACTCTAGTCAATGAAAAATTTTTGTGTTATATATATTTAATTTCTTACAAAAAATGCAAATGGTGAATAAATATATAAAAAGAAAATGCATACTAATTATTGTGAATAATTAGTAGTTGAAGCAATTCCAATATAAAAGTTACAATTTGCATTTTTCTTATATGGCAGAAAAAATTTAACAATTTGAGTGTTTTTGTGTTTAATTTCAGATTTTTTTCTCTCAGTATTGTCCTTATATATAATATATTATTTAAACTTTCTCAAATTTTAATATTCATATATAAAATAATTTATATTAATTTCTGAAAAATTTAATTATAAAAATTTTGTGTTTATATAGTATATAACTGATACCATAGTATTTACTAATATACTATATTTCTACATTTATTTAGAATACTTTTTGTTATATTTTATTGTAGCAGATTCGAAGTATAATTTTTATAAAATTTATTAATTATAAAATGAATTGTATTTAAAAATGAAAATATTTTGTTGGGAAAGTAATTATTGAACAGCAAATTAAATTATATAATACTTTGAATAATTACAACATTGTTAGACCTGTTTATACCTAAAATTATATATATTAAACAAATATTTAAATTTTGTAATTTAGTTATAAAATTTCAAAATTAAATTAAATTTTTTTTTTCTAACAAAAATTATAAATTTTTAAAATTATTGAAAAAATATAACAAAATGTGCTACATAAAATAAATGATTCTTTTCTATATTTATTTTTTTTTTAGTAATATAATTGTTTAAAAAAAAAAATTCATTATAGTTTCAGAACAAATCTTGCATTGCTTATGTAAAAAAGTATGTATTAATGAAGAAAATAATTTACAAAGTAAAATTAATAATTGTAAATGAAAAAGTTTTCTTTAAACATTTAAAAGTACTTGTTTATTTTAATTTTATTTTTGGAATTATTTTATTATTCAATTTTTTCAGTTATTAAAGTATTTAATAAAAATTAAATTACTTTACAAACAATATATATTTTGAAAGACATCAAACTAAGATTTAAGAATCAGAGGCTCTGATCTTAAAATCTTATGTCCAAAAATATTCTGGACTTAAGATTGTGGAATTTTTGAGAAATTATATATATAAACAATGATGTAATTTCAAAAAAACTTGAATAATAACTGAATGTAATATTTTGAATATTGATTTCCAAAAATAGTTCATTCCAAAAAAAAGAGCATTTTAAATTGAAAAACCATTTTTTCTATTGAAATTGGAACTCATAACAAGTTTTAGTATTAAAATTCATTCACTTTATCAAAAAATTAAACAATCCTGTATTGAAATTATTCTACTATTTTATATTTCAATTTTTAATCACTTTTTTTTCATTTTCAAGTATATGAAATATGTAATGCTAGCTTTGGCTAGAGTGTGATTAAAAATATTTGAAAAAGAACTAAGAGGTTAACTGTCTGTGATAAAAAGTATTAAGGATGTGTAGTACAAATTAAAAAAATAATTTGGATATTTATAGGGATAATATAAACTTATTATCACCATCAGAGATAAGCAAAAAATAAAAATAGTAAATAGATTTGTGACTAATCAAACTCAGGCATATATCAATGCAACATTTGTTACTATATTTGATACTTTTTTTGCCTTTTAGCATCTTTTTAGTTGCTTATTATGAAGGATGAATGTATAATTTTTTTTGTAGTTTTATTATGTTATATTTTAGTTTGAATATTGTGCAATTAAAACATATCTCTGTATATAAAGAATATGTTTAAAATCTGTCAGAATTACTAATGTGATGGAATAATCATAAACTGATTACAAAGCTTTGTCACACCTTGCCTTGATCTGTAAATTCTTATTCCTGTGTGTAAATATGTGTAAATAGTGTGTATATGTCTATGCATTACCATGTCTGAAATACCATGCACTATTATACATAGTATATAAGATGCCTTTTTTATTTTATAAATAACTGGTATTAAGCATAGACCATTATTAAGCAGCTTTGTTAGATTATAGTGTCAAATTTTTTCTTTGAGATTTGAACGGGTAACAGAATTTTTGGAAGATGTTATTTTTGTAAGAAAAAAGAAAGTAAACTATGTAGATAGGACAAAAGGAGTCAATGTTAGGATATCTTACAGTTTTTTTTAATGATAGATGAGTTGTGAAATATCACACAAGGTTATTTAAATTTTAATGTGTTGAATAACGTAAAATGTGTGTTTAAGAAAATGTTAATTTTACTTGCTGATTTAAATTTAACATGTTGCTTATTCAGAGTTATTTTAAGATTTGAATTTATTTTATATATTAGGAACAAATTATTTATAATTTTAATGTTACATATTTAAATAAGCAAATTCTGAATATAAACTTGCATTTATCTGTATGATGTATAATATTTATTTTGTTATATATAAAAAAGATGTATATACTGAAATATCCATGATGTGATATGATAAATACACTATATTGATTATGAATCAGAGGTGATTATTTTAAAATAATATATAGTGGAAAATGGAAAGGTTGTATTAAGCAACATGTTAAATGATTTTTCTAATAGTCACTAATTATTGCAAGAAAATATTTATTATATTATTAGAAAACTGGATTAGTCTTCCCAGAGTCTAAGATGAACTTTTTATCTAGTATCAGATTTTATATAATTATTGTTACACGTTATGTTTGATTGATTATACATATTTGTTTGTAGTATATAACTATTTAACCATTACTTTATATATATATTGTATCATCTATAAATCACTTTGATTCATGATACAAATTAATAATGAGACCAAATGATATACTTTTTTGTTATATATAAGTTATCATTGCCTTTTTCTGCTTTGTAAAATAATTTTTGGTTTCACTTGATACAAAAGTTAAGATATGAAATTTAATATGTGATAACTTAGGCTTGCCTTTCTAAAAGAAGTAAAATATTTTCCATATACAAATGAATGTACTTAAATTGTTAAGATTACATTTAATCCTATTATCTTTCTTCCTAAATTTTTTCTATTAATATATAAATTTGACTGCTTTAATAAATTATTTTAGAAATAAGTTTGTAAGATTTAGCTTATTTTCAAGTAAATGCATTTTATAAAAACAGTTTACTGTAGCAGCTAAAGAGAATTTATTAAATAATAATTGAAAGATTTTTTATTTATTTGTAATATAGTTTATTAATGTTACAGAATCATCTAATTTGAAAATGGCTGCTATTTTAATTATATATATTTCTTTAAAGAGTAAGTATTTCACATCAGTTGCACTTCAATTCTCAAATTTAAAGTTATTTAAATAGCTGAATATCATTACATTCTCACTCAATCAGGGTTCTATATAAATACCTTTTCCCAAGGCCTTATATATAGAGTAGTACATTTAAAAAACAGTTTGAATGTACAGAGCAGCTAATAAATCTAATGAGCATAGATCAAATTATAGTTTCAAAAAAATTCAACTCCTACATCTTTTGACTTTCTGGCAATTCATTAAAAAATGAATAAAATCAGATCCTAGGATACTGAAGTTGCCCTTTTACATAAAATATGCTCCTTGAATAATTAAGAAGTGACCAATTCAAATTAGCAAGATTGATGACTGTTTGCTGGAAACAAATTTTATTAAACTTATCATTTATACAGTACTGAAAAATTTTCAAAAGTTTTTATATGTAACAGTAGTGCATAATAGTACAAACATACAGTAGTAATAATAACAATAGTTAAAATATCTTAAATATATATTAATATAATTATGATATCAATATAATTCATTATTAGAAAATATAGAATTTTTATGAATAAAATGTTCCTTACACATTCATTACTCCTTTTTGTTAATTATTATAATCTATGTTCAAAATAGTATTATAATTGATCTATGTGAATACCTTTTGGATTCTTCATTACTGTGTAAGTTAACATTTAATAAAATTTGAAGAAGCACTACCCGATCATCTTTCAACATTAAAATCCTTCCAAAATGTCTTGCATTCTCAAAAGAGAACGAACCAATTATTTAGTTTGAAAGGTCAGTGCCTCTATATAATCAATGAGTATATCTGTGGTCTTATGAGAAATTATAATAAATATATATATTATATGCGTATATATTTATCTATGTATGAAAATGTATATATGTATATGATGGCCAGTGATGATTAAAGATTGTATATGGCAAGAAATTTCCTGTATAAATATTTAAAAAAAAAAATAAAAAAAATTTGTTATAAGAGACTACTCAACTCAGGATGGACTTGCTTATTTATGGCAGTCATTGTTGGTGTATATTATTGTTAAGGAAAATATTTTTAAAAGGTTTAAGATATTGTACATCCAAACCATAGTCCCACTTTGATATATGGGTTTGGCAATGTGAAAGTGCCCATTATTTAAGCAAGGAAGTATTTTTCTTGTCATTCTCATTTACATAATGCATTCAATGATAAGATTTATATTTATTATACTATAAAAATATAATTTAAATCCAATGCTGGTCATTAACATGTTATCAACTTGAAATCATTTTCTATCATAAGAAATTTATCTTTGTCATACTAATAAATAAAAAAATAAAAATTATAAATCAACTATTCTTCTTTTTAAATAAGCAATAAATATATAAAATATCTCAATTATTTGCATTAATATATTCAATATTAAGTTTCTTAAGTAAAAAAAAATTGTGTGAAATGTTTAATTTCACCAGTAGTTATTAACATAATTTGGATCATTTGTACGACAATTAATTTTACATTATGCTTTGATCTGTGATTTATTGTGATGCCAGTGGAAATGCAAGTTACATATCTTCTGATCAATTCTATGTATATTTTAGCCAAAGAAAATAAATACATTGTAACAAAAATAATTTTTCTGAAATGAAATTTATTTGTTGTCATATTTAATAAATTAGTTTTTATTTGTTTTTTATCAAGTTTTTTATTTGTCTATTACAAATTTTTACATTTCATAAAACTTTGAAATTAAAGCATTAACTTTTATTAATATTTTTATATAATAAGAACTATTCAGTTTGAATAACTATAAATTAATGCTTTATTTAATGAAACTTCACAAAAGAGAAAAACAATACTTGCCCAAATACTTTTGGATTTCAGGAGTTTGAATGAAAAAATCATATTTATATAATAGAAGGAACTTGTTCAAACAGGTAAGATAATGCATGAACATACTT